GAGCATAAAAATCTAGCATCCCGTCAAGGTGGCGAATTAGCGAACGACAGGCTTGCCTGTTTACTTTTTTTTTTAATATATTAAAAAGTTCTTTTATACATTTCAATTAGATTTTTCACTTATTTTTTATAAAGCATCTTTGTAATAAAATTTACTCTAAAAAATATTGCATACATTCACAAATAAATGTATAAGACAAAACCATCAAGAATTGAACTTACTATAATAAACTAAAAAAAGGGCGCGTTTAAGGTGGGACAAGCTGAACGAATAGGCGCGGAAGGATTTGGCGTGCGACGGGTTTTGGCGGGGCAGGCTTTAGTGAGACGTGGTCTTTAGCAGAGCATGCTTTAGTGGACGGCAAATCCAAAATCTCAACCCAACCTGCCATTTAAGGCGGGTGCGTGGACCGGCTCAATGGGCCACGATCCATTTTGTCACCCCTAAATTTAATAGTTATGCACAGTCAGTATAAAGAGAATTTCTTTCCCCACCCTTACATCTTCTTAGCCGCCTATGGCAAAATTCCTATTTTACCCCAGAATTCGGAAATGTATCTCTGAACGCACCATATTTCATTTTTCTAGGGTGATTTCAGAGATGCATTTCTGAAGTTATAGAAAATCCTTTTTTGGGGTGAATTCGGAGATGTATTTCCAAATACACCTAATGAACTATTTCGAAAATACATTTTTTTAAAAGAAAGGTGTTTTCGGAAGTGTAGTTTCGAAACGTTCCCTGATTGTTTTTTTTATAAATAATTTGGAAATGCACTTCTGAATTATACAGAGATACAATATGAAGTTGGCAGATTATATAACTTAGTAAAATGGTGAAAATTGGTAAAATGCACTTCAAAGATAAATCCATAATTTAATCAAAAAAGTATAAATCGGTGAAATGATGAATATATATATATATATATATATATATATATATATATATATATATATATATATATGTATTGAATCATGTGGGTACATTCCAAAATAATTCAATTACATTGTGCACGACAATACATAAAAAAAAATGGTTCGATAACATTCTAAAATGTATCGAACGAATGGATACCGCTTAAATCTAAAACAGGTTCTTTCTTCGACTTCTCCCTATTTAATTCTCTTTCAAATTTTGACAACTTTTTGAATTCGACCATCCTTTCCAAAGAAATGATTCGGCCAAGTTTCCGCCTCTTCTACATGACGTGTCGTCCATTACACTGATGTAGCTGGAATAGGACACCTCGACTTTAAAAATACTTGAACAAAATGGACTAAGATACCCAATAAAAATGATACAATGGGACGGGTCCTTAGGTGGAAGATTTCGTATAGGAAAAAAAGTCTCTGAAAAACCATATCTCGTGAGATCGATACACACTCTCTCATATGCATTTGCTATAAGATGACCCATTTCAGGGAAGGACATCCACTTTCCAGGTAGTGTGTAACCAGTAATAGTTGGAACCAGAGCATTATGAATTTTATTGAAACGTTCCTTTCCTTAAAGTTGTAAGTAATATTCTCTATACGCCATTACCTCTAAAATAAGTGTTTTGTCATACAAGTGTGTGGTTCTCCTCACCTTTACCAAGTAAATTGGACACGTCACGAAACCCGCAATTATCATCCCCCCCACATATACAATCCTTTCAATGTAATTGTGCATAAAAAATAACATCTCATCAATATGAATAATCGGTAGCGGAATTGGTTTTTTTATTAGAGGTGTACGAGGTGGTTTGGTGATGCGAGCTCCTTTGAAAATACTTTTTTTTTACAATTTCTAGGTTGGAGAATATGGAAAATGTGAATCAACAAATTCATGGTAAGACAGCTCCCGCCTTGTTGAATTTTCCTCTTGTGTACTTTTACACTTTTTCGGTGCACCTTTTGTTTTTACCGGTTGTGAAGGATGTTTCATATTTGTGGTTTATGGATAGACGATTTTCCTCAATTGTTATTTTATGTGCAATCTCATAGTGTCATCCGCTTTAGAAAATCTATCCATGATCACTTCCAACTAGGTTGCGATGGTAATGCTCGATGTACCGTCTTTCGTAGCACCTTAGTCATCAAATCAAAGCCTTTTCCAATAATCGTATACCTCGTCCATACATATGGGGAGTTTAGCTTCATCTTCTTAGAAATGAGACAAGCATACGGTAGCCCATATGATTTCCTAATTGTACACCCACACTTTGAACTACCCGACCTCGTTATCTCGACATGCTTCGCTTCATGAAAAATAAAATTTAATCCCGCTTGAGATATGTTAAGATTCAACTGTGAGTAAATAGTGTTATCTTTAAAATGGTGTTCTACGACTGGTATTCTATGGCCAAAATTTGTTTGAATTTATTATGTTGGTTTTGGAGCATTTGATTCACCGTGTTTCGTTCTCTATAAAAGTCTCCCTTGCTATCACCCAACCATTTCTTCAAAGTTGCATGCGCAAATTCAACCCTATTAGTTGTTGGGTTTCCAAAGTGTCGAACCGAGTTCGTCCAAGCACACACCACTTTTTCTTTCACCGTATCAAGAATAGTAGTTTCAACATATTTTAAAAAATTAGAAAACTTGACCCACAAACTCCTAAAATATACCACATTCTCAAGATACAACTCTTCCGTAAAAGAATTCAATATATTTGCCCATGCATCCATTATACTCTCCACCACAACACTAACTTTGACAATGCATCTGTCTTCACCCTTGAAGTATTTGGTACCAATCGTCAGTTTGAGCTTAGCTCTCACATTTTTGGTTATATGATACCTACAAAGTAGTGCATATGATGTAGGAAACACACTTTCAATCGCATTCATAAGGATGTTATCTCGATCGCTTACAATGACACTAGGCAACTTTTGTGGATCCTTTAACAAAGTCTTGCATATATCCAACACCCATGTAAAATTGTTTTCTTTCTCACATTCGAGGAATGCAAATACAACTGAAAAATTCTTATCCGTAGAAGTGACACCAATAATTTCTAGAAGCAGAAGCCTATACTTGTTGGTCTTTTACATTGAATCAATTATAAGGACAATCAGAAATATGTTGAACAACTTAATACTTTTCAGACGAGTCCAAAAAATGTCACAGACACTAACTTTATCATCACATAATCTTTACCTTGAAATGTAGTGGTTATCGTCTAAAAGTTTCAACAAATGTTGCATTTCAGACCTCGGACCTCTACTCGCAATAAGTTGTTTATAACGTTCATTATATACCTGCTTGATATTTGAAACATTTAGTGTTCGTTTCCGTTTCAAATATGCAAGTATGTTTCTTGCCGCAACTCTGATCATCGATATTTCTGAAATAATTTTCTTCTTCTCCGTCTTAAGTCGATCTACAATTGGATGACCTTGTAGCTTGGTGTCCAACGCATGATTATGTTTATCGGAAATGATAGAAAACCGTTATGTATCATCCACCCTACATAATCCGCACAATTTGAACGGGACACTCACATTTTCTTGATTCGGTGTCATCATGTTTTAAATTCCAAACTTTTTGAACATATTTCTCACTTATCTCACATCTCATGGTTACAAATGCTTGCCTTCTACTAGTGCAATTGTTGGACCTTTCAATCACAACACCAAAGCCGATTTTGCTAGCTTTCATTCAGACATAATCAATCAATTGTTGTCGATTATTGAAAATTTGATCATTTGCAAATTGGTTTCCAACATCTATGTCGACAACAATTGATTTAATGTCATTCTTCACCTCATCCGACTTAGCATCATTATTCACTGTCTGAACCATCCTTGGGAAATATGTCGGGATGCACCATCTAACACAGACAAAAACATATAAATTCTTAATAATTCTGTTTTTGTAACTGGGGAAGTTTCATAAATGTATCTCCGAAACAAGTTAGGTGGATTCCGGAAATACATTTCCGAAGTGACGCAATTTTGATCTCAAAAATCAACATCAATGCAAGGAATTTAGAGATGAAATGAGAATTTTTTACGTTAAATTGCAATTTTCTATGCTCTCTTTGACACGATAAACCACTTAAAACTTCTTTTGGAGACGAAAAATTGATTGAATATTTGGTGAGAATTTGAATATTGAGAAGAAAATAAACACAATGAAATAGTTCATGCAACTGGTGATATATAACACGCATATTTTTGAAAATACACTTCTGAAAATATATCTATATGTTTAAATTTAACGTTTTACTAAAAATATGGTATTTTCGAAAATACATTTCCGAATTTGTCTCAAAATATCATATTGAATGCGTTCAGAAATACATCTCTAAAACACTTAAACTTGAGGTGCGTTCAAAAGTACATTTCCAAAAAATATTTTTGAAATTTCAAAATTTTTTCCATCCTTAAAAAATGTACAAAGAAATTCTCCAATATAAAAGATTTTATATTATCGATTCATAACATTCATTTATTTTATATATATTAAAATAAAAGTAAAACATAATTTTAAATGTGAGAGTTATCGTTTACTGTATATATAAAAATACTATTCCCATCAAATTCTCCTTATAATACAAAACTGTAGGCTGTCACATGCATGCATGCCAATTAGACTTTTATCGAAAAGATGAATTTTATAGGGAAAATAAACTTTAAAAAGTAGTAAATCCTCAAATATTCAAAGAAAAACAACAAAATATATTATTGGGACCATTCACCTAATCTACTCACCAAATTACAAATGTAAAGATAAATACACAAAAGCTTATTGCACATTTATCTATTTACATAGTATACATGTTGATGATAAGTTCAGTAACATTTTTATATAGTTTTTATTATTAAATTAAATTCCCTAAAATAAAAATACAACTTTGTGGTTCATATTCAAAAGTATTAGAGACTATAGTATTGTATCAAATAATAATAATTTCAATTTCTTGATTCTCATTTTCTTTGATCAAATCATTCATCAATTCACATCACATCACAAAACAAACATTTTCGCAAACTTTCTATATCGTTACAATTTTGAATTATGGCATCATTCTGCCGGCGGTTACCCGACGCCGGCGCCGTTGCAGTATCCGGCGGTGTTCGGATCCGGCGGACGGATATGATCGCTGGAACTAGAGGGATACGATATGGTTATTCTCCTCGGGAGATGAGGACGGTGAGAATGAAGTTGACGGTGGTGGAGGGCGGCGGTTACGGCGGCGTACGGAGGAGAGAGGAGAAGGTTGGACTGTGTTATTTTGCGGTGGAGGACGGGAGTGTAGGAAATGATAATGTAGCGGAGAGTAGTGGGAATAGAGTGGCGGAGGTGGCGGTTGCCGCTGCTGCAACGGTGGTGACGGGGGTTGGAAATAGAGTTCTTTATAAATTGGCTTTGGTTCCTTTGAAACAGTATCCTTTCTTTCTTGCTCAGCTTTCAACTTTCGGGTACTGAATTCACATTTTTTCCCACTTATTTGTTTAGTTTAGAGAGTATAACTATAAAGCACTGACCTCTGAAAAAAAAAGTGTGGTATTCGAAACGGGATACTGACCTTTGTTATTATATTTAATTTATTCATTTTCTCAAATTATTATTAGTATGGATCGTGTTTCTTGTGTCCATGATCCATAGCATGACAAACTATTTCCATGTCATCTCACACGGTCAGAAATTCTAATGTCAGGAGATAAATTCATATAAACCAATTGAAACAAGTTGCGGCGATATAACGAATCATATGATAGGACTTGGGGAATTTAAATGAGTGAATGATGTGTTTGTTTATGATTTTTTCAGATATGTGATTGTGTACTTTGGCATTATGTATATTCGACACCGTTCCGGCATTGTCACCGATGAGATGTTAAGCTTGCCAAAGACTCCATTTGTTGTTATTGGTCTTTTGCAGGCTCTTGCTGCTGTTACCGGAATGGCCGCAGGAGGTAATTTTTCCATTATTTCTGTTGTCAACTGTCATTACATGTTAGCAATATATTATGTTTAAGTTGCATAAGTTATCGCTTAACGGGTGCGATCTTAATTCGAATCTAATTCGATAACTTTTCATGCTTTTTCTTGTTTCAGCTATTCTCTCAGGAGCTTCAATTCCAATTTTGTCTCAGGTAAACTAATCAGCACTCGATACCATTTATCCTTAATTACTGTCATCTACTACATGATTTATCTACCATATGACAATCTTTATTTTAATCTTCTAAAATTATTGTATTTAAACAATTTATTATGTTGCAGACCTTTCTAGTGTGGCAAATTCTTCTGTCCATTGTTTTTCTCGGGAGAAGATATAAAGTCAACCATCTACTTGGATGCTTTCTTGTCACTATGGGTGTAGTTGTTACCGTAGCAAGGTCAGTGGTACATGTTTCTTTTTAAGGATGTCATGTCATGGTGGCGGCTCGGTTTGTGAGTGCCACTAAGGGCAATGGACTCTCGAATCTCGAGGCTCTAGTTAATGCCTTTTGATTTGTACCACTGTTTACTAATGCAGTGGAGCTGATGCTGGAAATTCGTTAAAGGATGGTGGTTTATTTTGGAGTCTTTTGATGATAGTTTCATTTTTACTCCAAGCAGCCGATACCGTGGTCAAGGTTATTATTGTCTTCTAAAGTTCATTGCCTCAACTTCCAAGCAAATTTTTTGTGTGGTTTACACTTACATTTCCTTACTTTGCAGGAGCTAATCTTTTTGGATGCAAACAGAAAACTAAAGGTATGTAAAACTTTTGACTGTCAAGCTGTTTTCATTCACAAATTTCTGAAAAACATGGCTTTAAAAAGTATGATATTGGGGAGAGTCGCGGTGATATTGTGATCCTTGGTATTGCACATAGTCGTGGTCGTGGTGGCATTGTGGAGACCATGCAATATTTTGTTTAACATTAGCGGTGTCCGTATTTTGTTCAGTGTTTGTGTTAGAATGTGCTCGAGACTCTAAAGCTCCCAACACATACTTATGCTAAACTTCATCTATTTAAACTTGTCTTTTTTTTCTTCATTTTTCCCATGAGGGGGAACATACTAATTGGTAATATCTGAAATAGGGAGGCTCTGTGGACCTGTTTGTAGTCAACTCATATGGATCTGCATTTCAAGTAGGTATCTTTCAAACTCTCGCAAAATATTCAACTCTTGTTGTACATAGAAATTTTAACATATATCTATATCTATGGACGTCTAAATGTACATTTATACGCTCAGTGTAGGCACTATTCATATGCCTTCTTCTCCCATTCTTGTCGAAATTATGGGGTGTCCCCTTCAGTCAATTACCAAACTACCTCAGAGATGGTGCAGCTTGCTTCCTAAATGTCGGTAAACTATCAAGTGGTAAGTTGTATTTTCCGTTTCCGCATTGTCATTTCTTTTATGGATCAGTTTGGTGCAAGGCTGTTTTTGAGGGCGTGCAAGGCGAGTTACCCACAAGGCCCAAAATTTATTACGGTTAAAACATAGCTAAATAAGGCCTCTTACAATATTTGTCACTGTTAAAACGTAGTCAAATAAAGCCTTTAATTATTCTGTCATGTTAAATCATGACTAACCTACACAGTATCTCCAAAAACATAAGACGACTCTGATTTAGTGTACGGCTTACCCTTAAAAGTGTTAGTATATTAGTTATGTTAGTATTTTCTCCTTCATCAGAGTTTGAATTCCGATTCTTTAAGTACTTCAACTCCTTCAACTCTTAGGTCAAACAAACCAGTTGAGTTACCAACTCACCAGCTTCCGTGTTTTACTTTTGACGCGTCTCTTGTCTTATATAGCTGCAAGTTACAATCCACGATGAATTCACTTGTAAAATTTAAAGAATTGGGATTATATCTTTGATCGTACTGACTTAAGAATCCTAATGTTGTGTTCTTGCTTGTGATGATTATTATGACTCAAAAAAACTAAAGTTTTTCTTAGTTCCAGGATGTGATGGTGCACCTCTGCTACCAATTCTGTTTATTATCGTAAACATTGGTTTCAATATTGCATTGCTTCATCTCCTCAAAATCTCTTCTGCTGTTGTATCTTGTCTTGCTTCCACATTTTCAGGTAACCTTGTAGAATCAAACATATATTAAATTACAAATGCATAGTGATGTGAAAATACGAGGTTATGCTCAACTGATACAGTTTTGCTTCGTGACAGTCCCGATATCAATCTATGTATTCACACTGCCATTGCCATACCTTGGTGTTGCCTCCTCTCTTCCAACAGGCTTTGTGGCAGGGGCCATAGTTCTCATTTTTGGCTTACTCATTTATGCATGGACCCCTTCAAATGGTTGTTCCTCAGGTGCTTCCTTCTCAGAGGCTTCCAACTAGAGAGGTTAGGATGAGTTGAAATTCCATTGCAGAATGTTCAACACTACAAGGAGCAATCCAAGCCAATTTTTCAATGATGGCTAGACAAAGGAGAGAGGAAAATGTTGTTGTATAAAAAATGTTAGTTCAATAAATTGCTAGTAGGTGTTCTTGATGAGCTTAAGCTCAGGTGGTTAAGGAATGGTAGGTATAGAAAGTTCTCAAAGTCCAAGTTTTGTATAAGGTGAGAAAATAAATAAATGGAGAATAAAAGTCAATCTTGTTGCCCAAGTAAAGATACATGGTCAATGAAGCACATACTCCGATATAGACACCAGTACACGACACAAATACTCTGACACCATAAGAATAACAATCATGACAGAAGATGGATGTTTTTTATGTTGGTATATAGACGAAGTGGTAATAAGCACTAAAAATTCACACACAAAAACAATCGTAAGAGTCAGAGTCTGAATTTTGGTAACGACTTTAGTAATGACACTCTCCATTTCTTTTGAGAAATAGGGAGGATCTCAACTCGGTAACTTTATAACGAGAAAACCCATAAATTTAGTGCAAATTGTTTTGTTTTTGGCAAGAACAAATAAATAAAATAATAGAGACAAAATCACGATAATTTTGAGGCTTTAAAGTAATTTTTAAAAGTCAGATCGATTATCGATCAAATTAATCTATTGAGTCACTGGGTTAATAGTCAAACCAGTGGATCACCGATTGAACTGCATAAATTTTAATAATATAAAAATATAATTTTATTTTTCTTTTGTAACATTATTTTTTAAAAACTTTTATTAATTTAAAATATTATTATTGATCTGGACTGGGCCTGCACTTACCCCACAGACGGGAGGTCCAATCCAACACCCTTGCATAAGGCCCAAAGGCAAGCAACCCAAGCTAGGGACCGTTGGACAACTCCTCACGCGTTCGTTGGGGAATGTGGCCCACGTGTCGGTAGCACCATCATCATAACTGCCTTCCAGAAATCACGGGTCCAACATCTATTCTTCCGTTACAGTTGACCAGGGGGAGGTCCACGTATTGGACTCCATACACACGTAAGCCCTGACAATCTTCATTGTTGGACCTCACCGTGGCCCAATGTTGGAGACCTTGGCCCAGTGTTGGGGACTATAAATACGCTATCATTTGAGAGAGTCGGGTATTCATTCTCTCATATTCATACCCACACTTGCTTGTACTCTCCCTTAAATCTACTTTGGCATCAGAGTGTCTTACAGGTACCCCCTCATCTCGCTTTCAACCTCAGTTTGACGTAGAACCTTGACGATCCATTCTGGTCAGGTACGACCAGTCGCGCCGTCTGTGAGAATTAGCTTCCCCGTCTTTCATTTATCTAAGACAAAAGCAACTCCAAATTCTTGATTGTCATGGCCAACCCAACTGCTAACAACATCTTAGATGCCCATCTCGCCGACCCCAACAACAACGTCATCGACAACTTGGGCAACAACAACAACGGGAACGACGACGACATGGCCGGTCTCATGCAGAATTACAGAGACGGCATGACAGTCTCTTCCTCATCATGCTCTCGACCACACGAGGGAACCCATCCACCCCTGAACTACGAGCCGAACTCTTTCCAGGAGGTCCCTGTTCCACCGGGCACTGATGCCACGACAAGAGCTCTGTTCGCGATAATTAACCAGACGAATTGCCTTATCTTCTCACAAGGTGAGCGATTAAGGGCGCTCGAAGAATCTCGTCGAGCCCCCAGAAGATATAAAAGACCTGACACTCCACTTCCCCGTTAGGATGAAGACCGTCTTCAATCTTCCCCGCGGAGACACAGACAGGACAGGTCACAGAGCCTCTCTCCCAACAGACTGGCTGACGCCCCGTGCTGGAGAGAACCATGCCCGAGGCTACTGGTAGGCGCGACCTCACCCACCACGCAGGGAACAACGATCCCATGAAAACAGAAACAGGGGCAACATAGAAACGCATCCTCGACCAAGGGATCCTCCCCAGGGCTAAGGACATCACTATGACTGCCACTACAACCGGTCTCCTTCCCACCCCCTACAAGAGCGACAAAGACAACCCTTGCGGTCCCTTATCGTAGGCAATCATGGAGGCGCCCATTCTTAGGGGAATGGAGAAGCTTCCTCAAGTGAAGGAATATGATGGCATTATCGACCCAGTCGACCACATCGACGAGTTTGAAGCAATGCTCTATTATCATAATATCGTGGGGCCAATCAAGTGCCGGTTGTTCCCCACGAGGAAAATTGTGATGGAATGGTATAAAATTCTCCCCCCATAGTCGATCACCTCCTGGAGAAACTTGAAAAACCAGTTCATGAGCTCCTATACAGCGTCTCGTCGACACCCGAAGACTGAGGCCTCCCTCGAAGCTATCGTCCAAAGAAGCGACGAGACACTTAGGGAGTTCATAGATCGGTTCAATCGTAAGGCCATCCAGGTCCTCTGTACCGATCACATGAAATGGTATCTTCTCGAGAGGGGACTCCTCCCAGGCACGGAGTTCAGGAAGGCCGTTGGCATCGAACCACCCCGGACATTCGATGCTCTCCTCGAAAAGGCTAGGGCCTACATGGACTACGAGGAGAGGGAAGCGGCCAACAAAGCTCGCGACCCAAGGAACCGCGGACCAACCAAATCCCTACGACGCCAGGACGCAGGGCTTCCTCGACGAACGGGCGAGAAGAGAAGGGACGACAAGCCCCGTGATCCCCGCGAGCATATGGGTCCCGCAGGGAGATTCATTGAATACACTCTGCTGACCGTTTCCCACGAGTGCATCCTAGAAGAGTGTTCCAATACCGACTTCAAGGACGACAGAGTCAGACGTCCCCAACCTACTCACGCGAAGCCCGGGGCTGACTGAAGAAAATATTATCAGTACCACCGGAGTCACGGGAATCTGACTGAAGATTGCGTCCATCTCAAAGACACTATTGAAACCCTTATAAAGGGTGGCAGACTCGGGCAATATCGATGCAATGACGCCCCTCGTCGGGATACCCGTGAGACAAAAGAGGTCGAGGAAGACACCTGACCATTGGATGAAACGACCCTCATCCAAATATCCTTCTCCGTTATAAGGTCGGAGGACTTCTACGTCCCCAACAGACACGAAGAAGAACCTCTGTCCACGCACAGTAGGTGGGAGAAATTCCCCTCCGCCATGGTTATAATTGGAAGGGGGTTCAACCACATCTCCATAAACTCCACAAAGAGGAAGCTCGATGAGCTAGTTGATGCAGCCCCTACTCAAGCGGTGACATTCGAGAAGGTCAAGGGAAGATCAGACCCAATCACGTTCTACCTCGAAGAGTTTCCCGAAGGGGCCCCTAACTCGAGCATCCCTCTTCTGGTAAGGGCAAGAATGGCTAATTTCGACGTTCATCGTGTCTTGGTCGACGAAGGGAGTTTCGTCGATGTTATATACAACCATCTCTTTCGAACCTTACAGCTCGACGACACCTACCTTTCACCATACGTGGGGTCTGATCTGCAAGGCTTCAATGGCTCAACCTCCAAACCATGGGAGTATGTGGAGCTCTTCGTCACCTTCAGGGAGGAAACCGCCACCCGACAGGTCAAGGTGCAATTTGTGGTCATTGACTGCCCATCTCTCTACAACTGCATCCTAGGGAGACCAGCGCTAGCCGAATTAACCGATGTCCCCTCCACCGTCCATCTGAAGATGAAATTCTACACGAAGAGGGGACGCGTTGTCACCATCTTCCCAGAGATGTTTCAACGCAACTTCAAAGGGTCAGAGTACGGTCGACACAGGGGGCACGACTTGCTAAAAGAGTTGTTGTTGCTTGACCTAAACTATAGTCTGTCAAGACAAAAGAGCAAAGGGCTCCACCTAAGATCGACTCTATATTGCTCGACACCCGCTTCGATAAGGACGAAGCACCCAACAACGAGCAGGAACTCCTCTGACCAATCTCAGACGGAGACTTCGAGTTCGTCCCCCTCGGTGAAGACCCTCACAAAGGCGTGAAGATCGACACCGGACTCCCCGACCTGGAGAGGAATTAGATCAAAGCTTTCTTGAGGGAGAATGCCAACTGTTCATATGGAGCGTCGCGGAGATTCCCAGACTTGACCCCGAGGTCGCCTGTCACCACTTGGCCATTGATCCAACCGTTAGGGCAATAGTACAACGTAGACGTAGGCAGTCTCCTGAGAAAGAGGAGGCTGCTGAAAATGCTATAAAAGACCTCCTAGAGGATAATTTTATTTCTGAGGCCTGATATTCAACCTGGCTCTCAAATGTTGTACTTGTTAAGAAAAATAATAGAAAATGAAGAATGTGTGTTGACTATACTGATCTTAATCGAGCATGTCCAAAAGACACTTTTCCTTTACCTAATATTGACATGCTGGTCGACAATTCGGCCGACTATAAAATTTTATCATTCATGGACGCCTACTCAGGCTACAACCAAATACCAATGGCGATGAGCGACAAGCACTGCACTGCTTTCATGACCAGCTCAAGATATTACTACTACAACGTAATCCCCTTCGGCCTGAAAAATGCAGGGGCAACGCACCAGCAAATGATAAATAAAGTGTTCCGCAACAAGATCAGGGATATGCTCGAGGTATACATGGACGACATGATCATTAAATCTCGAGCAGACACCGACCATGCTTCCCATCTCAAAAAGGTCTTTGCCCAAGCGAGACAATGCATAATGAGATTCAACCATGAGAAATGCACCTTTGGGGTTAAGGCGGGAAAATTTATCGATTTCTACCTGATGGAACGGGGAATTGAAGCCAACCCCGACAAGTTACAGACATTCTCCGAGCTCCCTACACCTAGCTCGAAAAAATCCATACAAGTCTTAAACGACATGCTCACCTCGCTCTCTCGATTCGTGGCGAAATCCGCACAATACGCTCTTCCATTTTTCAAACTTTTGCGCAATGAGGCAGCCTTCAAGTGGACCGGGGAATGCGAGAAATCCCTCCTCCATCTCAAG